TCTAGGCCCGAAATGTCAGCCTTCCTGCTCCTCCGATGCTGCTTGGCCTGCTGTGTTCATCCAGCTCTACACCTTGTTATCTCAAATGTGGACTTGCCTGATAACAGCTCCTCCTAATTAATACTCCCTAGCTCTTGCCTAATACTGACGTAATTTGCCCTCTTCCAATTTTGTACCTTCCTGCAAGGTCCTGACTTATCCTTATTTGTAAAAATTTAAGGAATTGTGATCACTGTTTCCAAAATGCTCTCCCACTGAAAGATCAGTTACCTGGCCAGGCTCATTAACCAGTATATGGTGCAGAACGGCCCCTCCTCTAGCTGAATTAGTGAAAATAGGTTTTAGGGGCTGGGGATCTAAGTATTTTGATAGGTCCAAAATTTAAATATGCTTAAATGATGAACAAGAGAACCAACTGTATCTCATAATAAACACAACAACAGGATTATACTTATAAATGAGGCTGCCCTGTGGTATGTTGATTTATTCTTTGTAGTTTGGAAGATTTTGAGATGGTTTCGTAATTGCTTGTGCAATCCAGATGATGTCAATTACAACTGCAACTGAGGAAGAGAATCTTCAAGAATTCGATGAATTGCTAATGGCTCAATGAAGTTGAAGACAAGCGAGTGTACTTTACTGCAATCTGAAGCAACAAACCAGGTCTTGATTTTTCAAGCCAAAAAAGGAGACACAGTCACTGAAAAGATGATAAAGGCAAAAAAAGGCAGGCGTCCAAGTTCCTTTTGTAGACATAGTTTGATATTATTCATGAATTCTGCCCTGAGCAAGCAACAATGTTAGTGCCATCACATGTGCTGCATGAGGAAAATCTGAATGATCGAAAGCACTGATGCTCAATATGCATGCAAGAGAAATTTGGCCAGTGATCTGAATTGTAACCTGAAATTAGCACATGATTCTTCCAACTCTGCAGCCAGGGCAGTGATCAGTCATGGTCAAGAGATGTGTGCAGTTTAAAACGGTCATGCCTCTACCACCATTTCAGGCAGGGTTTTCAGATTCAACTTCCCACCCTCAGATCTATGCCAGTCAGAACTTTGAGGTATACGATCAGAA